TAGTTTTTTGTGATGTGTTTGTTTTCGCTTCACAGCCCCACACCAACAAAACAAACTACATTTTATTCTCGTCGTCGCCTTCAATTTTACCTTGTTGAACAATCTTTTTAATAATGTCTATTTATTTAATTATTTATTAAATGTTGACTGGTTTCTAGTTTTTTTTAATTTGGTTATATAATTTTTAGATATTTCTTGATTTAATAAAAGCAACCATTGTGTTTTTCTTTCTTTACTAAAATCTCGAAATTGTTTGTATATCTGTACAGTTAAGTGTTTGTTCGAGTTTGAACAAGCCTTGCAAATATTTTTCAAATATGGTTCATTGATTGGTCGATTGGTTGGTTGATTAGTTGATTGAATAAATAGTTGGTTGGTTGATTAATTGGTTGATTGATTGATCTCATAGTATTGTATATATGAAAAAAAAATCCGATTAAGCCAACGTACGGCTTTACTTGGCCACTGTATTTTACCAGACAAAAGCAATTTCTTTATTTATATTGACAAAAATAATTGTGAAATGAATATATTGACTTATTTAAAGCATTATATGTAAAGAAAACCACCACGACACTGTTGTATGAGACCCAGTTAGCCACTGCAGTAAGCCAACGTATGATTTCAGCAACCATAATTTTTATGAGCACCAGCAGAATGTAAAATATTCATTGAATATAATAAAGATAGTTGTTCAAATAACAATTTTGATCTATTTAGGTCGTTTATTTCATGAGCAAACAAATTTTTAACATGATCGAATAGTGTAAAAAAGGGTGACTTTAGTTCAACCCTACTAAGCCACCAGTAAAAAGCCACCGGATTTCACAGGACCAAAAGTATAATTTTTATATTCAAATTAACAACAATAATTTAATAATACATAATTTTATTTAATAAAATCATAATTTTATTTAATAAAATTAAAGAGAATTATTACAATGTTTTAAGCATATTAAGTCAAGTAAATATTTGATATAGCTTGCTTGTTAAAATCCATGCAATTTCGTAAGCTAATAATCCAAGCATGTCAAATAGCCCGACTCTTGACTTGAACGATAATAAATCACCCTCCAAATCTCTTCCGGAAGTAAGCTCCTTGTTCGACCGTTAAAAGTGAGCGAAGGCCGTTATATTTATTTTAGTTATGTGGATAGATGTATATATACGTAGTTATAATACATTTATAATATTGTATTTACACATTCAAATTGTACAATTGTTTTATGGTGTAGTTTCAAATTATTTTGAATTCTCTCAGAAAAATTTAAACTTTTTACTATCAACTAATTATTTTTATCAACAATTTAAAAAAAAGTTATATAGAGTTATATAGAGTTATATAGAGCATAAATTCTATATAGGTACCTTTCTTTGAGGTTCTTTTCTTTGCCGACCGGTCGGCTTCTTTGCGTTTCTCATTTTTCATTTAAATTAAATAAATAAGATTTTTCCATTCATTTAGGTTCATTCAGGTTCATTCATTCAGGTTGAAGCTTCTAGAGGAGTTCATCGTGGACGATCAGAACGGTTGTGATGTCACGCTACGTTCGTTCTTTAAGTGGCAAAGAATGCACGCCTGGCTGGGGTTCGTTTTACGGTTTCTTTGCGTTTCTTTTTTTGCCAGTCGGCTGGCTTTTCCGCTTGCGGGTTTCACCGCGGCTCGTTTCTCTATTTTCATTTAAATAATTTGAATAAATAAGTTTTTTTTTTCATTTTATTCATTTCATTCAGGTTGAAGTTTCCAGAGGAGTTCATCATGGAAGATGTCAGGTTACGCTCGTTCATTCAGTGGCTAAGAATACACGCCTGGCTGGGATACGTTTTATACTTTTTTCTCAGTAATTTAACATTAAGTAAGAATGTTCAGACAGTCACACACAATTACATTAAGTAGCTATATAGTTAGGTTAGATAGGCACAATTTTAATCGTAGGTAGGATAGATAGAAAACATCCAACACTAATGTAGTTGAATAGGTAGGCGCGTAAGTTTATCGCTTCTGTTTTTTTCTTGCACCTACATTACACGCATCAGCGTATCACACACACACACACACACACAAACACATACATAAACACATATATTAGTATTTGTATTTGAGCGTATTTTTATTTTCATTACACATTCTAATTTATTATTACTAAGGTTGAGAGTAATTTAATTTCATAGGTAGTTAAGGGCAATAATGTAATTCTAGGAACAATCTTGTAATGTAAATTAAAACGCTGTATGTGTATCGATAGGTAAGTTAGTTATAAGTTTTATATTATTATTATTATGTCGGAACCCAAGGCATTACGTAGGTGGTGGAGTGGGTGCCGAAAGGCCAATGAATTGGGCTCTTGAGTTTTGTAATTTTAGGTAAGTTAAGGCCATAATGTAATGAATAGGTAAGTTAAGGCTACGTTGTAACACATACTCATTAATAGATTTAGGGTTTAAGTTTTATATTATTATTACTAAGTTGGAGCCCAAGGCATTACGTAGGTGGTGGGGTGGGTGCCGAAAGGCCAATGAATTGGGCTCTTGAGTTTTGTAATTTTAGGTAAGCTAGGGCTTAATTGTAATGAATAGGTAAGTTGAGGGTACGATAGCCGATAGACTCTGAATTTCAAAGTCTGTTGTCAGAGGTAAGCCTTGGTGGCCAGTGGTGAACCGGCAGTAGTTTACTATCCGGATGGCAATGGTTTACTATCTGCACGGTAATGGTTTACTATGCGGCATGGCCATAGTTTATTACCAGCACGGCTTCCGGACGGCAAATGGTTTACTATCCGCAAGGCAATAGTCTACTATCCGCACGGCAATGGTTGACTTATCCGGTACCCTGGCTGTCGGTGAACCTCTGTGCAAGGAGGGAAAATGAAGGGGGACTTTCGACTATCGTACCATTAACAATTTAATATAGATTAGTTGAGGTAATTGAATACGTAGATAGGATTATTTTTATTAAGCAATTTGAGATCGAATTTTACGAAAGGCAGACATCCATCTAATTTTACCGGTGTTGTTGTATCGGGTTACAATGTAAACAAATCTTTTTCATAAAATATTTCAAGTTTGATTTTGCAAGATTAACATTTTCGTTATTCAAGTCGTTCGTTCAGTGATTGTTTTGTAATTTTAATTAATTAATTTTTATTTATGGCAACGTTATGCCAGAATTCTCTTCCTCCTTCACCTTCATGTAGAAAATAATTAATAATAAAAGTATATTTCAAATTTCTCATTACTTCATGTGTGCATGTTTTCGTTTGACTTTTGATTTTGATTGGCTTTTGATTTTAGTTTTTTGTTCTTTCATTTGAAAATTTAATCTAATAATAATATGTATTAATCTTATTTAGATTTTACTAATTAAACTTTTAAAACTACCTACCTGTACCAGCTTTTACTAACGATGGTGCTCTTTTAATTAAAATTTAAAAAAAATGATAATTTTCAGTAGCTAATTTTTCATATTACAATATTTTTTTAAAATTTATTTTAGTTTGTTTTTGAATAATGAAGGTTAGTACATTTATTTATCATGCAAAAATCTTTGCAAATTAAATGATGTTAATAGTTAAGGCAGTAACAAGTAAATAAATTTAAAACGTAAAACAAAATTTTATTTTTCAGAAGTTCAACACTGAAATTTTCACAAAACGCAATTTCATCGTTATCATTTTAACATGGCCCAAGTGATATTTAGAAATAAACACAAATGGAACATCGCCATACTGCTCATTATAATATTAATCATTGCTGCCATCTATTTTAGCTGGGAATTATTGCTCCAGGAACCCACCATGTTGAAGTTGATGAGATTATCAAAATCAGGAAAAAGCAGTGGCAGAATGGAGATATCTTCCAACAGTCAACATCTAGAGGATGTTGCTGATCAAATGTTTAACTCTAAAAATGAGTCCACATCCTCAAACAGTGATGATGGGCTTCAAAAGATTTTATAATATTTTCACAAATTTTTAATTTATATTATTAGTCAGTTAGATAATATTACTTCTAACACTTTCTGGATTGGTTTGTGATTGACTTGCCGAGTGTACTGCAGTGTTATGTATCCTAAACTTCTGTAGGTTCTGTAAATATGTCTTGATGCTCTGGTTCACTTTTTATGATAATTTATGTTTATATATGAATTCAGATAACAACAGTTTTATTAAATTTTTGTGATGAACTTCGATAAATATTCTATTATCAATAAATTGAACAATCTCCAGAAAATTTTAGTAAGTAAAATTGAAAATATATTATTGCATTAAATTTTAACGTAGCAATTGTATATATGTGTGTTTGACAGTTTGTTATTTGAGTTTAACTTTACCTTTTACCTGAGCCAAAATTTTGATCATCAAATTAGAAATGTTAATGAGTTACTAATTTTTTTATTGAACTTTTGCGTTTTGTCTGATATTCAAATAATATATAAATTGCCATGTAAATCAACCTTACTAATGTTATTACTTAACAAGCTAACTGGTTTTGCCGACATCACAGATGCATGATTGATTTTAATTATTGTTCTGTTTTCACTGTTTTTTCATTCGAATTTCAAACTATTTATTTATTGTAAACATTGTTGAATTCAGTGAATATCAGACCCATTTAAATAAACACTTCCAATGAATTAGCGTGTAATTTTATCGTAGTGAAGTTACATGTTGCAAAGCTGCGTTTCATGTTATTATTATTATTATTATTGATCATGATTAGACGAGCTGAAAGTTGAAAATGTATGATAATGAATGTCTGATACTGTATGATAGTGAATGAATGGTGCTGGTTGTATTGTATACGCAAATGATATTTCTACAGTGTATGCTAGTGAGTTGGCTCCATTAGCGACATTAAAATATTGTCGTAAGCCACTTCAACCGCCATTTACCACTTTACGACGAACAATAACTTACTCATCCTAAGGTTCTTTGGCAAACTTTTCATCCATAAGATATAAGAAAATTTAAAAAAACCGCCCGTAGTTTTTCTAAAAAAATTTTTCTAAAAAGCTTAAAGACACTAAAAATAAATTTCTTATAGATCAAACAAAAGCAAGTATAAAACATGTTCATTGAAAACTTCATATAAAAGATATATGCCAGTTCAAAACTTAAAAACAAACTCAACAATTTCATGTAAATAAAACAACGGTCAAACGATTTGTTCGCTGTACATTTCGCCCATGAGATACTGGTTCTTGCAATCTCCGATGTTCATGCCGCTCTCCAGCACGACCTGCCCATAGTTGCCTCCCATCAGGTTAACGTTCTTTGTTTTGAAGTTGCATGTCGACGAGGATGGAGATGATTTTTGACTGGCCGATGAAGAGCTTGAGGGAAGTTTTTTGTTTGAAATTGTCTGTTGGCTACTGTTTGATGGATTTATGAGCAGATTGTAAGAATTATTTGAGAGATTGAAATTGTTGGGTGGGACCGCGGTGATGAATGGTTGTGCCATGACAGGGCATCCGAATGCATAAAGTGTTGCGTTACAACTGTTGTTATTACTGTTGTTATTGTTGTTGTTAATGTTGTGGCTTCTATCGGAACCGGAGGAGTTGTTGACGGATGGTGATTTGTTTTGTTCTGCCCAGACCTGTCTTAGTTCCTCGTGAATCTCCGAAGCTGATGGTCTGCTGGGAGCATTTTTATGCCAGCACTGCACCATCAGAGAGTAAATGTTTGCCAGGCATTGCGGAGGGTTTGTGAGAATTCTATAAGATTTTATCATTTCCATAACTTCCATGTCTGAAAAATTTCGATACGGTATCTCGCCTGTGCTGTAGATCTCCCAAAGCAAAACACCGAACATCCATACGTCACTATATTCGCTGAAAATTTGAGATGTTATGACCTCCGGAGCAGACCACCTCAGCAAAATCGGCTTAGCAGAAGCGATTAATTTGTAATAATGCAAGCCTCTTCCTGGAGTGGCCAAAGATATTTTAACCAAACCATTCTCGCAGACAAATACATTGTGCGAATTCAGTTCCGAGTGGATAAACTTTTTGGAGTGTAGAAACTCCAAAGCTCCTGCAACTTGGACGGCTACACTTATTAAAACCGTGTGCGGAAGTATTGAAACTCTCGACAAACATTTCTGCTCGGCAACGGCATTTGTTTCTAAAACTCTGGAATTTGATTTTAAATACTCGTTCAAATCACCGTAAGCGCTGGCTTCAAATGCAACAAAGAAAGGCAGAGAAGTTCTGTTAAGACCTAAGACGCAAGTTATATTCGGGTGATGAAATTCAGTCATCATATCAATCTTGATCCAGAATTCAGGCGCAATCAGTGGGTCGGTAGAAGGATCTAAAGTTTTGAACACGGCAGTAACTGCCGTACCACCTGACAATAAATCTCCTTTATAAATCTTCCCGTACATTCCATCACAGAGTTCATAGTTTAGAGAAATGTTTGATGGATGTATGCTGTTTGGTGCACTGCTTGTAGTTGATGATGTTTGCATAGACTGACGATCGGACAGTTGCTTCATGTGCATGCTTGAGTTGGACTTCTGTTGCAGAACCTCAGATTCATCCGATGATTTCTTCTTCTTCTGTTCCGACTTTCGCTTTCTTACTTTAGCGCATATGATGACAAGCACGATGACGATGAGCAGGAAAGCACAAGATATTCCAATTAATATGCCTCTCTGCTGGTTTTCGTTTTCACTGCTCCCATCTCGTATTTCTGAAGAAAAATTTATTGAGCAAAATTTTTTGATAAGTTAGAAAAATATCTGGAATTGTTTGATAAAGTCAGAATTCAAAAATAACTATGTTATGAAACACACTTTAAATTCAATTTAGTTACACAACATAAATTTATAAGAACCAACGGATTTATTAGAGTTCCGACAAATAAATTACTCACCCGTGTTTGTAGCGCACCTAAGTACAGAGCATGTTTCGATCCTGTGCAGACCTTCGTGATCTACAAAACACCAGGGACTTGACATTGATTGGTCATTATTTCTACAGTAGTTGTGCGTCACTGAAATTGAAATCAATCGATCAAGCACCCAGCAATCATTTAATTACTTCTTCAACCAAAAAACACACCCAAAAATTTTGCAATCGGTGATTTCAAAAACTAAATGACAAAATGGAATAAAAATATTTAGTAGAATCAGTTTAATCTCGAAGCACTCACTCAATGAGGGCATCGTGCCGACGCCAGTTTGCTCGTAGAACTTTCCAACACTGGACCACTTGAGACATGGCCTTCCTGACGAACTGCTTGATATCACTCCTCGGTATGTTTGTCCTCTATCACTGAAACACTTGTCGCCTTAATTATTATATCAATTAATTAATTATTCATTAAATTATTAAATTAATCAGTGGCTAAACTATTTTTAAAAATTATTCGGTCAATCTAGTGTTTTTAATTATAATGTAATTCATATCACGAATTCTTCAAAAGTTTAAAGTTTAAACGATTTTTAACATTACGTTGCAGAGAAACATCTGTTGAGTTAGGCATTTTTTGATGCATTATTTGCAATGCCGATTGTAATAATACTTTGGTTTCTGTAGGTAAAAAAAATTAAATGATTGAATTACAGTGAATGAATTAAAAACCCGTTAAATATGACGTCATCATGACGTTGACGTTGTAGCAGTCAGCGGATGTCTGCTGGGCGTAACTCCTCAACGTGCTGCAGTTGGCGGAGTCGAGAACTGGAGAAGAAAGTAGTTCTTCGGTATTCAAAACAAATTTGTCGACAGAAAGGTAAAAGTTACAATTAAATTTACATTTCCTTAAATCGTCAAAAATTTTCAATCTGAAGAATGATTAACAATACAAAAACTTGTTGGAAAGACTCAGTTCAATTTAACTCAACTTACAATATTTAAATGAATAAATGAAGCACTGACTTTTCCGCAAGTTTTCGAACCGGTTGTAGTCGAACAGGTTGACAGAGTTGATGCCATCCTTGACGAGCTTGTACTCACTGGCGCAGTGCATGGTCTTCAGGGATTCGCAATCCTCTCTGCACAGACCTCGGCTCTGACTCTTTTTCTTAATGTCTAAATTTGTCAGTTAGACAAATTTATTAAGCATCTAGTTAAATTCTTAAACAGTGACAAAAACTTGTGTTGATTCTCAACACAAGTTTTGTTTGTGTAAATATTATTCTACATAATTATACATAAACATATAAAAAAAATTGCAAATATATAAATTGTTAAAATTTATATATTTATATATATATTATATATATATATAATTTTAACTTTTAAAAATTGTGAAAACTATAAACTAGCCTTTGTGAGGGCAGGTTGAAAATGTGTAGAGGCAAATGTTTGTGACCAGATGCTCTCGACACTGAACTGAGAGGTCGCTTGTTAGGTTCATCCGGTTCATTATATCTATTGTAGGAATTATGTATATCTCTCTCTCTCTATATATATATATATATATATATCTCTGTATTTGCTTAGGTATTTGTGAGTATTTGTATGTTTGTAGTTGGAAAGATTCTCTTTCTTTTAACGAATAATATTTGTGATTTTTAAATTTTTCAAGGTTTGGAAAGTAAATGAATGTTTTATTTTAATGAGCAATGCCAATGTGACATGGTTCCTATTCTGTCCGTGTTGAATATGCTTTACTATAATTCAATACTCGTGTGCGTGTGTTGCGTTTAGGTATCAGCATAAATATAATCATAAAAATGATCATTAAGCATGGTTAATGAACTGAATGCTTCAATCTTTTTTGTAGTCAGGCCTATCATTGCCCACATTATACTCACAAAGTCATTCAAGTTAGAGTAGTGTGCTTCAACGAATTTGACATTTGACATTTTTTATTTCGTCAAATCAAAACAAAGAAATCAAAGAAATGATATCAATGAAAAGAAATGATCTGGAAATCGAAAAGAAAATATGGTTTTCTTGTAATGATCGCCAGTGACAATTGTAAAAATGAGAGCATATTTTAAATATTTTAGTGCATGTAAACTCACATTCATATTACAAATCCTAAAAAAACCAAAAACGGAATCAAAATTATTAAGTAATCATCTCTTTTACATTTTTATCAGAATGTCGTTTGTAATTATTAAAACACAAATATATATATATATATAGACCCACGTAAAACATACTTATTCACACACACACACACACACACACACACACACACACACACACACACACACACACACACACACACACACACACGTACACACACACACACGTACATGAGAATGTAAGAAATAATTTTCAAAAAACTTTTTGTGTCTTAATCATTATGTATATTGAAGATTTGTTTAAACTACAGAAGGCCAACCTGTCATCCACTCCTCTAGCATATTCTGATGGTGAATGTCGTAGACGAATATGAGGGACTGGTCGATGAACTTGGAACACACGGAGCCTCGGTAGGATTCACATGATCCGGATTCGTTACTGATTCGTTATGGAAATTATTTAGTTCTTAATAATAATTTAGTTGAAATTTCATAATTTTATTCACGGTTAATATTTAATATCAACATTTTTAGCAGATTACTGAGTAAATTTTGATGGCTACCAAAAATTGAAATGAATTATAGGCTGTGACCAAAAAAAAACTGAAATGTACAACAGCAAAACGTACAGAGTAAATTATTCATATAGAAAAAGGACGATTTGTCTTTTAACAGAATTGGAAATATGTTGGATCAAATAAAATTTCCAACGAGCACAACTGAGAACTATATTTATATTTTTATTTATATCATAATTCATTTTTTTATTTGTTTGCTTATTTGGTTTGTTTATTTATTTATTTATTTATTTATTCAAATACATTATGCCCACTGACCCGTCCATATTATTGTTTTTCTGTTTCTTGCCTGCCATATTACCAGATTTTCTTCCTCTTGACTGCTTCAAAATGACGTCATCATCATCATCGTCGTCGTTATCGTAATCATCATCCTCCTCTTTGTCATCGTCTTCGTCATCATCTTCGTAATGGTCGTTAATTAGGTCGTTATTTGAGTTTGGGGATTTCTTTTTCGTCGGTGAGTTTTTAGCTGAGATAATTTTTTAAAATTAACAAACACAATTAGAAATGTCAGTTTTAATAATGATAATCAAATTGAAATTGCTACATTCATGAAAATGTTCATAGCAGTTAGAATTAATCAGAAAGTTTCCCAAAAAATTATTCAGTTTGTGTGTTTTAAAATTAAATTATGACAAAATCATTCATAAAACGTGCGAGCCTGATGCTTTTAAGATGTCACTTAATGACATTTTTATTGTTGTACAGATTTATTTCAACTGTTAACGTATAGCAACAATCTTTAGAAACGACGAAAGCCCTCCATAACAGAAATTAAAATCCTCACAACACTATCTAATTTATTTTTTAAAAAGGAGATAAATCTTCGCATTCAAAATCTTTTTAAATTTTGCAATTTTCAAATATTTAGGACACAGAAAAAAAAGTTAAATAAATTTAACTCATACTCGATGGCCACACTTGTACTCAATTTTAGAATTTCATTTATTTTTGCGTAGTAGTGCACCCAAATGTACTTTAACTATGCACTTCAATTTTCTCTCTCTCTCTCTCTGTCTTTCTCCGTTTCACTCTCTCTCTTTTTTATTCCATTTCACTCTCTTTTTTTTCTCTTTCTCTTTTTCTTTTTTCCCTTTCTAAGTCTTTTCTTCTTTTCCCACACATGCTTTATTAAGAAACTGTCTTTTTTCGCTTTCTTCAAACGTTATTCAAACGTATATATAAATAGACAGAGACACACGTGCAGATAAACAGACAAGCACACTCACACACATAAGCAAACACACTTACGCACAGACCTGGTTTGATGGTAAGGTATGCGTGTGTAGTGTTGGTGCCGAGGGGATTTGAAGCCACGCACTTGTACTGGCCTTCATCTTCCAACTGCAATTTCTTAACCTTCAAACTGTTTTTCAAAATGTTCATCTAAAAATACTTTTGCTCCTACTATTCGTTGATAAATATACTTAATTTGAAGTTTGTTATTTTTATTTTTTTCCAATAAGTTAATTTGATGATGACGATAACATCAACAATGGTGGTGAGATTGATGATGACGATGACGACGAGGATGACGATTAATAATTTTTTAAATATATCCTGTCACGCTTCAAATTTAATAAAATGAAGTGATGGACATGAGAAGAAGAACAAATGTTGCATGTATGCCAAGCGAGGTTCGTTGCTTCTAGTTAAATGAAATCATACTCAAGAAACAAAACAATTGTTTAGGTGGATTGAACTATTTTTGTAAATGTTACAATTACACATATGTGTTCACATACATACATCCACGTCTTAACATACATACACACATTTTCTCTCTCTCATTTATTTTCTCTCTATCTCTCTTTCTTTCTCTCTCTCTCACACTCACACACAACACATATCTACACACACTCAAATCTTACATATTTCCGGTCGGAGAAGTTTTGAATTCATATTTCTGATGGAGATTTGAGCCGACCAAGACCCTTTCGTTTTTGTACCAGGTAAACGTGGGCACTGGCAGACCAACTACCTCGCATTCGAATTCAGCTTTCGTGCCTTCGTATTTCGTCAGGTTCTTAAGAAGTGATTCCAAATGTAGAAAACTTCCTGTTGGATCGTGATTGTGATGAAGAGAGATTTGCGAAACACTGATGAGGTAGTAGTGATTTATCAGTGTAGAATGAGTTTCAAATTGGAGTGATTCAGCAGACGTAACTAAATGTTTTCTTAAATTTTTAATGATGATTCTCATTTTTTTAAACATAATAATTTTAAATTTTGATATTTAAGTTTTTTAAAATCGTCATCTATTTATCTATTAATTAATCAATTAATTAATCATCGCCGGACTAGTCCAACCGGTTATAATTAATTATTACTACTAATTGAATTAATACAAATTTCAATCAATAAATATATTTTAAAGTGCACTCGTGTAATATTTTTGTAAAAAAAACCAAAATGATCTTTCAAGTAACCCGATTGTTCATGAGCTGGTTCGGCAGCAGATGGTGGCCGTGGTGGTAACAGCTGGGGATATGATGATGACGACGACAACGACGAAGATGATGATAAAGATGATGATGATGATGATAATGGTGATGATGATGACAGAGCAGCAAGTGCAAATATGAAGAGAAATGTTGAAAGGATCATTGTTGGACTCATTTTTTTTATGGCTGCAACACTCCAAGTCTAAAAATTTTTATCTAAAAAAAGAAAAGGTTTTATTTAAATATTAAACAACTAAAAAACAACTAATATAAAAATTAAACATTAAAAAAATAAAATTTCATATTTCGACATTCATCAAGAACATAACGGGCGACATATAAGCAAAGGAAGGAAGAGATACCATTAAAAAAATGTTGGTCTTTTGTATGCCAATCTGTATAGCTTATGTATTTGTGTATAGTTTAATGTGTTTGTGTATGTGTATGAATGTATACATGTGAGGAAATGTTTGTTTGTTTGTGCGTGTGTTTGTGTGCATGTGTGTGTGTGTTTGTGTGCGTGCGTGTGTGTGAAAGAGTATACGCTTGTTGGTTGTTTGGACATTAAAGTGTGTGCGCGTTTCAAATTGCATTTGTCATTGATTTTTGAATTTTCTGTACGTTGCAAGCACACATGCATGCATGACTGTGTGTATGTATATGCATGAATGCATGCATGTTTGCTATGTATAATAGAAACATGTCAAATATGTACTCACGTGTTTATGCATGTATGTGTATTTATTTTAAAAGTTTGTGTAAATATAAGTTTGCTTGTATTTTTGATTAAATGTGTTGTCTGTGTTGGTGTGCAAATATGTCTGTATATATGACTTTAAATTTCATAAAAATGAAACCAGCTTTACTTGATATATTACATAATGTATTTCTATACTCTAGATTAGTATTTTCTTTAGTTGCATCATTCAAATTTTCGAGTTGAGTTTACATTTCAAAGTACATTTAATTGATAAAATTCACCATAATTAAATAGCAGAAACATATTAATGAGCTCAAATTCCAATTCATTAAAAAGTATAGTGAGAAATAATTTGTCAACTCGTCTTCTTGAAGGACGGTTTTTCAAGTGGTGGATGAAATGACGGATAAACATTGCAGAGGCCCTTAGTTGACTCAACTACGCATGGTTTCTCCTGGAATGTTGTGTATCTACATGTATGTGTGTGTGTGTGTGTGTGTGTGTGTGTGTGTGTGTGTACAACTGATGCGAGATGTTTTATGATGAAAAGTACACAGAAGTGTGTTGGTTGATTGTTTTGGAAGCAACAATTTATACGAAAGTGGATGAGCTGCCTCAATGTGTGCGTGTGTGTGCGTGTGTTTGTTTGGTTGTGTGTTTTAGTGCTATTGTAACTTGTGCGTCAAATTACATCAATCTATATAATGCATTTTTTGACCAAAATGTTTTTTGTCTCAAAGATTTTCATACTCTTCATCACATTTTCTCCGAAACAACGATTCTATTTCCCTTTTCAAAACAAAAAAAAATTTATTATGTAACTACATTCATAATTCATTAATCAAAATTAATTGCAAAAAAAAATAATTTGATAATTACCGAACACACTAAAAAAATTGTCCCTACCTCTCGATTTATTTACGGCTACGAGGAGAATGAAATAATTTGTTGCTAATGTACGTGCGCGCTGTGGGCAATGAACAAAACAACGAACGACGACAGATAGGATTGCATGTTGGTGGGATGGTGAAGAAGTGAGAGAGTGAAACAGTGGGAGGGTGAAATAGTAAGAGAGTGAAAAAGTGGGATAACGCGATTGCGAGGGTTAATTATTTATGAGGCTTTTGTGTGAAAGTCAACTTCAGTAAGCAATCAACATCAGCAGTAGAGTTAGAAATGTTCCGATGACACCCTCCAAAAATGGCATGAAGCGAGGACGATGACAATGTTCCAGTTAGAAAAATTTAGATTGAAATATGCCAGTATGTCATTTTTAGTTATCCACAACATTTACGACAACTTGATGAATATGGAATGACGATAATTAACATAATATCACATTAATACAAGCTCCAACAAAAACACATACATACTAAAAAATATAAACTAAAACGCCGAAACACTAACAACAACAACAACATACAACCACAAAAAACATAAATAACATTAATAACAAATGTAACATTAACAACAACAACAACAGATACGGCAACAACAATAGCCTGCATAACACCTGGTTGCATGCAAACAGCATTACAAATACAATACAGGTAACACAATGCCTTCTTTCCTATATATCACTCATCATTATCATATTGTCATTGTTAACAATGTTTGACACATCATCACTGGTTCACTGTTCTACGAAGAATGACATGACAACGATGATGATGTCATTAATAATAATAATAATAAATGATTATGAAGATGATGACGACGGTGATGTCATAATTTTAATATTAATAATAATGATGACGATGATGATGTCATTATTAATATTAATAATAATAGCAACAACAAAGATGACGATGACGTCATTATTGTTCAATTTCTCATCATTTTATGATAGATCATCGTAATATTAAACCGTAATAATTTTTATAACTCTTCATACTAATAACTTGAAGTAATAACATAACCACTACTACTAATAAAAATAAAATAAAATAATAATAAATACAAATAACTATTATATTACAATATTTCTTTATTAGCATTAGCACTAAGGATAGTGTTTCAAATAATTCTATGGCAAATAGTGTGAGACGTCTGAGGTTAATAATAATATTGCACTTATGTGTGTCATTCAATCAATAACAACAAACCTACAATTATACACGCGCGCACACATATACACACACGCGCGCGCATACAAACACACACACACATACAAACACACACACACAAACACACATATACACCACAAATACAAAGGCACACAAACACACACACACACACACGTACAAACGCGCAGACACACACACATACATACAAACACATATACACCACACATACAAACGCACACACACAAACAAACAAACACACACACAAATACACGCGCACACACACGTTAACGTCATCTTCCCTACATAAAATATTATTTCACGGATTATTCAACTGGTATTACCATTTTACTACTACTAATATATTTAATATTACTTATTATTATTATATAATATATTATTATTATAATGTATTATTAATAATTATATTTAATAATATATTTTTTCACAACGTATATATCTATGTTAATAGTTTTTGTATCTAGTAACCAGTAACAACTTGTTACTAATTAATAATAATTATCCAATTATACATTCAAAACAATGATCCAATTGTTAGTAACAAAAGGTAGTAAATTAACTGTAACTTTACCCAAAGATTTCAATAATACACATACAAAAAGGCTTGGATCATTCCGCTTTCGAACAGGGTAACCTTCACAAAGTAAGACCAAGCGCCTCTAACCATTACACTATCACGCAGCTCATTAACAAGACTATGGATGTTATAGAGCTATCAATAAAAGATATTAATTTAATGTATATATATATATATATATATATATACAATTAAAGATATCAATATATCAATAAATATATTAGAATTTCTTGAGCAGTTAGATGCAAACCCACGGAATCAAGTTACATTTCATCAGTTTAGTCTGTGCCTGGCTCAAGCTCGTCCCCACTATAACTAGATCTATCTATCTCTTATCGTGTTCGGCTTTTGTTAATACGCTGATAAATGTTTTTCTGAACGTATATATATACATATACATATATATATATACACATACATATATATATATATCTTCTGAAGTCTATACAAATTCTGCTATACATACATACATATATATATATATATATACATTATCATCGTTATCATCGTCATCATCGTTCTGGTCTATGCTTTTGGTACCGTGTCATCATAATTAGCACGATAGCAAGGCACACGTGTCATATTTGTTTCTTCTGTAAGGGCTGCCGTCATTACGGATGGTCCTATCATTCTTATAATCATTATCCTCATCGTCATCATCATCATCATCTTCCGTGACATCACATAATCGTAATAAATAGATATATCGAATGTCATCACGCCAATAATCCATGTGACGTCATCGTCATCACATCATCATCATCAACATCCTTATCATCTTTTTACTCTTCCTCATCGTCCTCGTCATCATCCTCACTACCTCCGCCATCCTTTTGCACTCAAATGACAATCAAATTAAAACGTCCATGCTTCGAGAGCTGAAAGTTGATGATGATGATGAAGATGATGACGATGATAATAACGATGATTATGATGATAGTGATGACGACGACGATGACGATGATGACAAAGAAGATGAAAAAGAATGAGATGTTGATAATGATGACGATAGAAACATCTGCTAGAGTTCACCTATATATTCATTTCATATATTTGTACATATTTTCTATTGTTAGAAAATATCAGTCATATATATATAGTTATATATATATATATATATATATCGTTATATATATATATATATATACGGTTAGGTCATTACCGCGTATTACTACGGAATAATAGGCTAAAAGTCAGATTGTATGTAACAATAAATTGATGATGACAATGAGTCAATAGAGGTACGAGCATTTGAATGAATGAATGGATGAGTGAATGAATGAATGAATGAATGAATGAATGAACGAACGAACGAACGAACGAATGAATGAATAAAGAAAGGAAGGAATGAATGAATGAATGAAAGAATGAATCTAGTGGCTAGAACATAAAATGAAT